ACCAGTGATGTATCCACCCTGGCTTTGGGGTGCCTCATTGTCTCCCTTCTTCTGTTTGTCTGTGTATTCTTTCGCTATCCCTATCGCCGCTGGATCTCCCCTCCTCGTGAACCAAACACTCGTGAACAACACAACTATGTCGAGGCAAGACCCCGACACATAGTGACCTAAAGTATGCAACAGAATAAAATGTTACCGGGTCCTGTGCCATTTCACAAATATTAAAAACTAGTGTATGGGTCACATAGCCACTCCTCCTAGGTTTCTCTCTTCTTCAGGGATTCTCTGGGATATTGAGAAGGAGACGATAACCCTTAGGCATTTGTGCAGTACTGTTTCAGCACTGACAGTGTTAAATGCTGTGATCATCCCCATAAGGTAGAATATTAAGGTAAGAAAAGGCAGCTTCTTTCAGCTATCATCAGTATAAGGGCTTTGGAAATGCCTTCAGAGGCTATGTCACTTAGAAGGCAAAACCAAGGGCTTGCTGCTATTTCTTATTTTTTTTTCTTCCCTTTTCTCCTCCCCAAGGTGAACTAAACCCTGGGTTGGACTGGTTCCAAAACCTCCTAGGAGTACCTGAAGCATTGCCTCAAATGAGTATAAAGGAAAACATACCCTTCCTCCACGGTGACTGAGTTCATGAGAAGACAATTGGTGATAGACACTCTGTCTCTTATGACACAGGATGAGCCAATGACCGAGTGCTTAATGGATGACTTCTCTCCAACCTGTGTATCTGACCCAATGAGACTATCAACTCCAACCTGCAAATGAGAAATATAAGGCCTTGTCATTCATCTCAACCAGCTGAAAACTAACCCCCCAGATCTCTTGAACTGGAGTTTAATGTAATCTTTCCCTGGAGACACTTCAATAAACAGGACCATCAGTATTTCTCAGGGTCATAAAGAAATAACTTGTGGAAACACAGCACCTCAGAGACCAACTCAAATCTATATTAAAGCATCAGAACTCGACCAAATGAAGATAAAGATACTTGATAATATGAAAAAGTGTAAATTGCTACAATTTGATGAACTAGAACTTTACTTATGGATGAAGTTGTTCAAAATTCCAACTGAAATGGGATTATTCATATCAAGGAACAAGCTTGTTTCCTCATTGTTCTAGGTTGATAAGGATGAGCAATATAGAGACATAAGCTATAAAAAATGGGGAGCTATAAAGGCACACAGTGGCTGGCTTACAAGCTTCTATGAGTGTGCTTAGTTTCAGAATGAGGGGGGAAGGGTAGAATGTCCACTGAATAGTTTTCTTCTTTTTCAGATGGATCTGGTGAAAGGGAATGCAGGATGATGTGGATAAAAGATTTTATGATTTAATTGTGAGTAACTGTTAGCAGGATTAATTATGATAGTCACAACTGTAATTGTAGAAGATGTATACCTAAAAGGGGGGAGCAGTTAATCTTTCATTTCAGGAACAGATGATCCCAGGAAAATCAAGTAGGAAGAACATGAGTGGAGTATGAGATCCTACCTAGAAATGCAGCGACAGCAGATACGGTGGCAGAAGCGATGGCATGGAGAGATAGAGCAGCTTTGGGCTCTAGGCCCATGGACTAAGGCTGTGTAAATGTGGGGGCAGGAGGCTGGCTTGCAGAATGTGCCCTGTGGACACTTAAATGAACATATATTTTTTTCTTTTGTATGTGTACATCAAATATTTTGCTTTGTTCATTTGTGAAATATAAGATGTAAAAGGGAAATCACAGAGAGGAAGTAGGATAACTGTTGTTGCAGTTGCAGGGAGGGGATTGTAGTCATTGAGATGAAACAAAGTATATAATTTGTTGAATGTAAAGCTGATGATCTTGTCTATTAACCTTCACTCAATTCACAATAAAGAGTTAAAAAAAAATTTTGTATTGACGCATGGGTACTCCCTTGCCAACAAAATAGACATATATGTAAACATTCATGTACTTGTGTGCATGTTGTTGTTGTTGTTATGTGCCATGGAGTCGGTTCCGACTCACAGCGACTATGTAAAGGGTTTCCGAGGCTGTAAATCTTTACGGGAGCAGAAAGCCTCATCTTTCTCCCACGGAACAGCTGGTAGTTTCAAACTGCTGACTTTGAGATTAGCAGTCCGATTCGTAACCACCACGCTACCAGAGCTCCTTACTTGTGTGCATAGATGTACATAAAATCAACTGCTCTCTTGAAGACACTATTCAAACCAGGGTAAGAAGAGGGACAGACATTGACAACTCCTATATCTACATCTAGCGTAGTGGTTACAGATCAGGCTGCTAACCTCACCGTCAGCAGTATGAACTACCAGCTGTTCTGTCGGAGAAAGGTGAAGCTTTCCACTCCCGTAAAGATTTACTGCCTCAGAAACCCTGAACAGGGTCGCTATGAGTTGGCACGGCACATAACAACAACAAACAATGTATCTACAGCTCAACAGCATTTTGTACAAGCTGACTTCTTGAATACCTACCCTAGAGGGCGAAAGAACCAGAACCGAGCTGGGATTTCTCTGGGTCTTGAGAGTCCCATTTCAGCTTCTCAAGGATAAAGCAACACTCCTGAAGACTGTCCCATGCCTGCCTTGCCCTCATTAGTACTTACCAAATGTTTGTTGACAATCTGGGCTGATGAATGGACCAGTGATTCTTCTGGACAAAGAACAGGCAGCAATTTTGGTACCTGAAGGAAAGAAGGTTGGTCACTAAAGCAAGATCAAAAACATACCTGAAAGCCCTTTGGATAGAATCCAGTATCTAGTTGTCAGCCATAGGTTCTTGTCTGGGTGAGTAGGGCAGGAAGATGCAGCATTTACCATGATTATTCCAGTTTTTCCAAGTGACTTTGTCTTTACTTTCCAAGCCTAAAGCTCTCTTCCCTAAAGGTGATACCAAATCCCTCAATAAGGTCGAGGTGGGACAAGTCTCTGAGATACCCAGCCAGGCAGTCTTCTTGACTAAGGAAGCCTGATCAGGTCAAGGTGTACCCTGAGTCTAGATCACAGTCATTTAAGGTTTATGCTCACCTGTTGGACCACCGTAGCCAACTATAAGGAGAGGGTGGGAGCAATGTTTGACAAAGTCCAGGAACAGGAAAGACTCTGAAATGAGTCTCATGTACTGTGTCAGCCAAAAGAAAATGTTAAAGGGGAAGTTTACGCTCTCCAGTGAAAGAATATGGAAAATGGTAAGGGGGCTTTGGCTATTGACCCATGTACAATGTACTTAACTGTGATTCTCTAGCATAGGCAGAATGCTGGTCAAAGCACAGTGTGTGGGGACCACATTAGCTGAAGGAGGTCTTGCCAGCACGGGTACACTGACAATATGAAGGTTATTGCTCCAGTTCCAATCCCTAGGATCTCCTTTATTACACTCCAGTGAAGTTCTTCCAGTTCTTTCTGCTGTATAGCTGCTGCAGGAGAATTCACTAGCCCTATGCTATATTCAGGAGCTCTGGTAGCGTAGTGGTTACGAATTGGGCTGCGAACCTTAAGGTCAGCGGTTCAAAACTACCAGCCGCTCCGCGGGAGAAAGATGAGGCTTTCTACTCCCGTAAAGATTTACACCCTCGGAAACCCTGTACAGGGTCACTATGGGTCGGAATCGACTCGACGGCACTTAACAACAACACAACATGCTATATTCATGAACCTGCTTTCAGACTGCATAACCAACTCTAGTTATAACATTGAGAAAATAGAACTATTATGGACTGAACTGTGTCATAAATCCTAACCTCTATGCCTGTGATTACAATTCCCTTTGCAAATAGCTTGTTTTCACTATGCAAATCAGGCAGGACATCTTGAGTCAATCGCTTTTAATATATAAGAAATTACAAAAACATACTAGGAAGCAGAGATAAGGGGAAGTGAGAAGCCAGCCCATATGAATATTGTCTAGAAGCAGAAGCTTAGAAGAGACAGGGATTTTCCCACAGAGCAGACACAGACAGAATCTTCCATTAGAGTCACTACCCTGAATTCAAACTTCTAGCCTCCTCAACCAAGAGAAAATAAGTTTGTTTGTGATAAAGGCATCCAATTGTGGTATCTGTCATAGTTGTTGTTATTAGGTACCACTGAGTCAGAACTGACTCATAGTGAACCTATGTACAACAAAACACTGTCCAGTCCTGCACCAATCTCACAATTGTTGCTACATTTGAAACCACTGTGCTGCCACTGTGCCAATCCATTTCATTGGAGTCTTCCTCTTTTTCTCTGATGCTCCATTTTACCAAACATGATATCCTTCTCTAGGAATTGGTCCCTCCTGATAGTATGTTCAAAGTATGAGAGTCAATGTCTGACCATCCTAGCTTCCAAGGAGCACTCTGGCTGTACTTCTTTCAACACAGACTGGTTTGTTTTGTTGGCAGTCCACAGTACTTTTAATATTCTCATCCTACACCATAACCCAAATGTATCAATTCTTCAACAGTCTTCCTTATTCACTGTCCAACATTCACCTATATTAGTAAGATGTTATTGAAAATACTATGGCTTGGGTTAGGTGCACCTTAATTCTCTAACTGACATCTTTGCACTTCAAGACTTTAAAGAGGTCTTGTGCAGCAGATTTGCCTAATGTTAATACGTCATTTGATTTCTTGACTACTGCTTCCATGAGTGCTGATGGTTGATTGGAGCGAATGAAGTCTCTGACAACTTCAATCTTTTCTCCAATTATATGGATGTTATTTATTTGTCCATTAGTGAGGATTTTTCTTTTCTTTACAATGAGGTGTAAGCCATACCAAAGGCTGTTGTTTTTGATCTTCATCAGCAAGTATTTTAAGTCCTTTTGGCTTTCAGCAAGCGAGATTGTATCACCTACATTTCTCAGGTTGTTAATGAGTCTTCTTCCAATCCTGATGCCACATTTTTCTTCATATAATCCAGCTCCTCAGATTATTTGTTCAGCATACAAATTGAATAGGTATGGTGAAAGAATACAACCGTGGAGCACAACTTTCCTAATTTTAAACCATTCAGTGTTTTCTTGTTCTGTTAGAACAACTGCGTCTAGGTCTATGTACAGGTTCTTCATGAGCACAGTCAAGTGTTCCGGAATACTCAATTCTCCACAATGTTGTCCATAGTTCATCATGATCCACACAAATGTCAATAAAGCACAGGTAAACATTGTACTAGTATCTCTGTTTTCAGACAAGACCAATCTGACGTCCGCAATGATATCCCTCATTCCGTGCCTTCTTCTGAATCCAGCCTGAACTTCTGGAACTTCTCTGTCAATGTATGGCTGCAGTTGTTTTTTAATTATCTTAGTGAAATTTTATTTGCATGTGGTATTAATAATAATGTCCACTGATTTCCGCATTCCAATGGGTCACCTCTCTTTGGAATGGGCACAAATATGGATTTCTTCCAGTTAGTTGGTGAGGTAGCTCTCGTCCCAATTTCTTGGCCATAGATGAATTACTGCACTACAGTGCTGCATCAGTTTGTTGAAAGATTTCAATCTGTAGTCCACCAGATTCCAGAACCTTGTTCTTTGCCAGTGCCTTCCAAAGCACCTTGTATGTTGTTGGGGACCGTGATCACTGAGATGTTGAGGCCCTGTGTCATGGACGAAAATCCTACACAATGGCTCCACTCAGGATGGCTAGCCAGGGACCCTGAGGGCCCAAGGAAGTAACCTCCAGATGTCCCGGGTTCATTGGCTTTTACGAACTCACTGTTGGGCTAGCTCTGTATAATTTTCTTTAGTCCTATTATTCATTCTATGCTTCGAACTCCAGTAATTGTAGCTTCTGAGAAAATGGTTTATGTGCCTCTTTTAATGTCTCCACTGTGTTGGCAGTGCTTAAGGTTCTGGGAACAAAATCTCTCTGAGGAACAAACTCTGGCCACCTGGCAAGCATGGCAAAACTATTCTATATCAAGTTATTCAGTTATGCTTGGTATTTACTTAATACATGAGCTCTTAGTATCCATGTACAGTATTAATATTAAACCAAAAACCTCTCCTAAAGCAGAGGCTATAAAAAGTTCCAAAGGCAAATTTGCTGAGAGACTCTTGAGAAAATTCCCCGAAGGAATTCACCCAAAGTAGATTGGCAACTTCCGGGGTATTGTTCAAGAAATAATAGCGAGAGCCTTCTCAAATCATCCCCAGGTGCAAACTATTAACCTAGGCGTCCTCCTTCCTCCTGCAAGCCTCAGCCAGGTAGCTGAAACAGCTGGACTCCTTCCAGACCTTTTGAATCCTTTTCTCACTGAAGATTAGGTGCTATACGTATGTTAATTAGCCTTGAGAAACCTTGATGCCTTGGGATTTGAACCTAAAAAGTAATTTATAACAATTTGCTTGAATTTCTAGAAAATTAAGGATGTTAGATTATCAAGACAATTTGTGATGTATGTTTTAGAATTTGTTCCTATAAATCATGGTGTCCTGTTTTAAACGATTAATCACATTTCATTTCTGTACCCTGTCTTAATAATCCCCTTCTGCCTTTGTGTAAAGCCCCTCCCTGAAATAAAAAGGGGGCGCAGACTGAAGCCCACATGCATTATTACCTGCAGGGCTGGCTGTGTGTTACTGCCTGCAGGGGCCACGATGCCTGTAGTCCAGGGTCTGCCTGCCAGTTTTGCATCCACTCTAGTTTTGGGGTGTCTCTTTGTCTCTCTCGTTGCGTCTTTGTGTGTACTTTTTTTCTGTCTCTGTCGCCGCCAGATCTCCCTACTTCATGAACTGAACTCCCCTGTTGAGGCCGGTCCCCGACAGTATGTCTTTTGTCAGTATCATTGGCTCCTGATCATATGCTACATCTTGAAATGGTTGAACATCAACCATTTCTTTTTGATACAGTGACTCTGTGTAATCCTTCCATCTTCTTTTGAAGCTTTCTGCATCATTCAATATTTTATTTAATAGAATCCTTCAATATTGCAGGTTGTGGCTTGAATTTTTCCTCAGTTCCCTCAGCTTGTTAAATGCTGAGCATGTCCTTCCATTCTGGTTTTCTAACTTCAGAATTTTGCACATTTCATTATAATATTTGACTTTGTCTTCTTGAGCTGCCTTTTGAAATTTTTATTCAGGTCTTTTACTTCCTCATTTCTTCCATTTGCTTTAGCATCTCTACACTGGAAAGCAAGTTTCATAGTCCCTTCTTATATCCTTTTGATCTTGTCTTTCTTTCTTGTCTTCTTAATGACCTTTTGCTTTCTTCCTATCTGACATTCTTCATGTCATCCCACAACTCTTCTGGTCTTCAGTCTTTAGTGTTTAATGCATCAAATCTGCTCATCAGATGATGACTAAATTCAGGTGGGATATATTCAAGGTCATATTTTGACTCTTTTGGACTTGATTTAATTTTCTTCAGCTTCTGCTTGAACTTTCACATGAGCAACTGATGGTCTGTTCCAGTCTGTCAATCTGATTTCTGAGTATTCCATCATCCATGTGCCTATTTCTATGTTGTTTAAAATAGGTATTTGTAATGAAGAAGTCATTAGCCTTAGATCTCTAGCATTGTTTCTATCACCAAGGCCATATTTTCCAACTACTGATCCTTCCTCTTTGTTTCCAACCTTTGCATTCTAATCACCAATAGTTATCAATACATCATGATTACATGTTTGGTCAATTTCATACTGAAGAAGCAGGTAGAATTCTTCAGTTTCAACATCACTGACTTTAGTAGTTGGTACGTAAATCTAATTATTAGTGGTATTAACTAAGTGTTTCTTGTTGTTGTTGTTAAGTGCCGTTGAGTTGGTTCAGACCCATAGCGACCCTGTATAGGGTTTCTGAAAAGCTATTACTGAGTTTGAACTGCCAATCTTGTAATTCAAAGAGACTTTGCAGTCCAACACATTAACCCATAAAGCCACACCAGGACCCCGGTCTTCTTTGTAGGCATATGGAGATTATGCTATCACAGACAGCATTTGACTTCAAGACAGATCTTGATCTGCTGCACAGGAACTTTTTAAAGTATTGAAGAGCAGAGACGTCAGCTTGAAGACTAAGGTGCGCCTGACCCAGGCCATTGTGTTTTCAATAGCCTCATATGGATGCGAGAGCTGGACAGTGAATAAGGAGGATCGTAGAAGAATTGATGCTTTTGAATTGTGGTGTTGGAGGAGAATACTGAAAGTGCCATGGACTGCCAAAAGAACCAATAGATCTGTTTTGGAAGAAGTGCAACCAGAGTGCTCCTTGGAGGCCAGGATGGCTAAGCTTCGTCTCTCCTACTGTGGACATATTGTCCGGAGGAAACAATCGTTGGAGAAGAATGTCATGCTGGGTAGGGTGGAGGGTCAGAGAAAAAGAGGAAGACCTCTAACGAGATGGATTGGCCAGGTGGCATCATTGATGGACTCAAGTGTGGCAGCGGTAGTGAGGCTGGCCCAGGATCGGACATTGTTTCATTCTGCTGTGCATGGGGTCACTATGAGTCGGTTCCGACTAGATGGCACCTGACAACAACAACAACAACAATGAGAATTCAAAAGAAAATGATGAACATGTGACTGGACAATGGAGGAAGGGCAATACTTTTTATGCATGCGGCAAAGCACTTGTCTGAATTATGTTCAAATTTTTGGTGGAAAATAGAACTTGCAAGTAATAGAATTGGATAATTGACTGATGAGATGTTTTAGGGAGATTTTAAAGGTGGGGCCACATGGGTTTTCATTGCCATGAGAAAGAAAAGAGATGGACTTAAAAATGAACTGTGCAAAATTAAAACAGAACTTTAAGATTTGGAAAATTCTATTGCACAAACTAAGGACACATGTTCTAGGATGTTCATCAAGGATGTGGCTAAACAAGCTTTTGTTTAAAAAAAAAAAAAACTAAGCCTGTAACTGATAGATCTAACCAACTACCACAGCAGAAAACCCATCAGCTTAGACTGAAGGGGTCAGAGACAGGACAAAAGGAAAGAAAATTGTCTGCCCCTTGGTATTCTACAGGCAATAAATAGTACAAAGGAGTATTATATGTTGTTCTTCAAGGAAAAAAAAAAGGACCATCCATAGAACAGCTCAGAGATCAGCAAAACTGTTGGAAGGTGTGTAGTGTTGGAAGGTGTGTAGTGTGGGAAGCACAATTTCAGAGGGGATGGCCATAGTTCTCCTGGATCTAAAAGGTGAGGCCACAGCCTACTAGGTGTCAAAGACTCAGTTCTTCTCCAATTCAGTTCTGGAGTGTGCCAAGGGGATGGGGTGACTCCCAAAGCTGAAGGTGGTAGAAATGCCATGCCCAGGCTGTCTAGAGCTGAGGGGGTGGGGGTCACCATTCAGATAGACTAGGCCACCCAAAGTCTAAGGAAGCTTCTTAGTTGAGGCTATTTTTGTTGTTAGGTGCCATCAAGAATGAAATACTTGCGGGTCCTGTGCCATCCTCACAACTGTTACTAAGTTTGAGCCCATTGTTACAGTCACTGTGTTAACTCTCCTTGAAGCTCTTCCTCTCTTTTGCTGACCCTCTACCTAGGGCGAGTTTTATTTAAGTGGAAACCAAAGCTAGTTCCATGTTTACCAGGACCTCCTTAGATAAGCATAGGATTAGTTGTGATTTGGAGTCCTGGTGTGGCGCTGTGGGTTAATGCGCTGGTCTACAAAGGCCTTTGAACCACAAGATTGGTGGTACAAGCTCACCAGCTGCTCCTCGGAAATCCTATATAGGGTTGCTATGGGTTAGAATCGACTAGACGGTACTTAACAATAACAGTTGTGATTTATTATATATGTCCTGGCTTAGATGCCCTTGGATTTGAGGGTTTTTTTTATCCTCTGTGGGGCTAGGGCTATATCTACCATATGATGTGGATCCTGAAGATTCCTGGGCTAGAATTTTTTCCAGGGACTCTATTCCAATTTTTAAGTTCCCTGGTGGCATAATGGGTAAAGCACTTGACTGCTAATGAAAAGGTTGGTGGTATCAGTTCACCAGAAGCTCTGTGGAAGAAAGATGAGGTAGTCTCCTTCTGTTAAGATTTACAGTCTCAGAAACTCTATGGAGCAGTTCTATTCTGCTCTGTTGGGTCACTATGAGTCACAATCGACTCAATGGCATTGAGAGAAAGAGACCCCCAACTTTCAGCACATCTTCTCCCCTTCACCCCAAGCCTGCACCTGCGATGTCAGTATTCACACAGTACTAACAGAAATAATGTCAACAGCTAATCCTTTCATTATCTCATCTGTGGAATCCTTTAGTCATGTATCTCCTCATATTCTCACCTCAATCCTTTACTGCTCTGTGTTTCCTTTATCTGGTGCCATTGTCCTTCCTCACAAAACCTTCCTCTTGTGCTCACTTCACAATAAAAAGCTTCCCTAAATCCTCAGCCTCTTCACTCTCATTTTTACCCTTTGCCTTCACTAAAACCTGGCTTGCCTTTTGGGGCTGCATTCCCTGAAAATCTCTTCAATAAAAACTACTAATCACCACATTTCATAAACTTTAGGGTCAAAAAGGTTAGCAAGACTGCACTGCCTAATGCTATTTCCAGTTAATCCTTCTCTCATACAGGAGTTCTTTCCTTGCAGCTTTGCCATTTAGCTGCTCTATATGCTGTTCCTCTTTGTTGCTGTCATTACTGACCTAGTTATTCTTTCTTTGATCAAAAATGACAGATTGTACCTTTTGCTTTTTCCCCTTTTTATCCTCTCACCTCTACTTTCATAATCATATGATTACAATCATTTCTCTCCTGGATTGTTGAGACAGCCTCTTAACTAGTCTCTCTTCTTTAAAATGCTTCAAGGATCCTCCTTTAACTGTAGGATAAAATCAGTGATTCCTTAGAATGGCATACAACACTAGTTGTGATCTGGCCCACACTTATTTCTGCAGCTGCCTCTTTCCTGTCAGGCCCCTCCTCTCTGTGTTGCAGTCATCAACATTTCTTCAGTTTTCAGACTGACCCATGCTTTCTCTTTGCTCATGCAATTTTCTTTACCCAGAACATTTTTCTCCCTTCTTCGCCTGGCTAGCTCCTACTTACTCTTCAAAACTCAGTTCAATTTCACCTTCTTAGCAAAGCCTCTGTGTCTACTTACCTCATCACAGTAATGACTACACAATATTTATCTGCTTGTCTATCAAGTAAATGCTATAGATAACCCCATGTTGAGTGACACAGGAGAAAATGGCTGAACCCAGAAGCCAGTAGTTAGCATTCCTGAAGATCTAAATCTTTTCTTGAAGCCAGTGAGGCCCTGTCTTTATGGACCAGGTCCTTCACTGCTCCATTTGCTGCACAGGTCTCCCCTGATAACGCCAGAAGCCTAATTCAGTCATGAGAATGAGAGGGATTCATAACAAGGTACTGAATACTTAGTGAAGAACTAAGACAAAAGGCTCAGTCTGTTTCTGGGGCAGAAATTCCAGTGATTCCTCTTCTAAACCCCCTCTTCTCACCTGCTTGTTTGCTTCCATGTATAGTCCCAGGGTGCTCACTCGGGAGCAGAGGCCCTCTTTCATGATGTGGACATAGCAGCGCACCTGCAATCTGGACAAGTCTTCCCATCTCTTTCCTCGACAGGCATTCCAGCAGGCATCGTATGGAGCAAAGGTTGATGTATTGGTCTTTTTTATAAAACTGTAAATATCTTTAGAATAACACCCAAACCGAGAAAATGCGTTAAAGAAATGACAGAAGGTCTGTAGACTCAGTAAAGAAGAGAGTAGTCTACAACTCTCCCCTTGGAACTCATCTATGCAACATGGCTCCTGGGGAAATTCACTAACATCTGAAAGATCAAGTCAAATTAAAAAGGGGTAATGCTCTTTCCTGTATGTTTGAAGTATCATGATTTTTGTGTGTGTGTGTTTTAAAAAAGAAAAGGTCCTGAGAGCTAGTTTGACCCACAGTCATGTACCACTAGGGAAAATAAAAAAGATAACTTGTTAAATCATAAAACAAGCCGAAGTTTTAGTGACCAGCATGTTGACTTCGTGCTGCTAGGCTCTATTGTATGTCTTGTAGCTGTGCTATGACAGAGCATAGGATACTTGAGTCCTAATTTTTCAACCCTTACAACAATCCTCTGAGATCTTTTTTTCTATGATAAGAAGACTAAGTAACCTGCCTAAGGTCAGAGCTATTAAGAGGAGGAATCAGATTAGACAAACCAAGGTTTGTCAAATGCCAAAATCTGAACTCTTAACCAATGTACTATATAATACCTTTATTTATTTATTTGATAAAAAATTTTGGAAGTGGATCGGGGCTAAGTACATGTGAGCAAATAACAGACCTCCCCTTACATCCTGGAATGAGAGTTAGATTGGCTTTAGGTTGGACTATAACTATTTGCTCTTTTACTTCCGTCCCCTTCACAGAGGGGATAAATTTAATCAGGAGCGGGACTGCCTAGAGAGTGGAGAATTGACAAGTGGCAGGCAGAGTTTAAAGTCAAAATATTCTATTAAGAAACCATAGCCAATACCACCAGTGCTGTGAACTTAACAGTAGGGCTGAAGGCAAGATTAGTCTGTTCTTGAACATGGTGAAAGGATCTGCTTGACTGAGAAAGCTTACCCAGAGCCCAGGGAGTAGAGGCAGCTAGTCTCTGCCTTTTAGGCTAAACAAAGTCTGCTGCCTTGAGACAGGCATCTTGGGTTGGGCTAAGCAGCCCAGCTACCCTCTTTTTCTCTTACCATACCAACTTGAGCACTGACCTAAGGACTTCAGCTCTTTTTTCTTTAGATCTTCCTCTTTTTCCTCTTGCCCCTGTTGTGAAGAAGCTGAGTAGAACTGCTTTCTCACTAGATATGGAATCAGTTCACTCCGGATAGAAGTGATTGACCTAGGGAGAAAACGAGGCCAAATATAAGAAAAGCATCTGGTTCCTACTGGAATCAAAAGCTCTGAGCATCTAAGTAAAAGTCAAATAAATTCCTGTCCATCATGTCACCTGGGAACTGGGCAGAGATTAAAAGTGGTATGAATTTGACAGTTCTGGAGAAGTAGAGGATCCAAGCTCTCTTTATTAGCTTCAGGCTGGAATGGGAGGATAGTGTACTAAACCTGAGAACCCTTTCCTCCCGCCACCCTTACATCCCAGCACCCGGTTCTAGGCAGAAAATAGTCTTCTTCACAAAATTCTATCTATGTGGTGTGTGTATGTATGTGCACATGCAAGCATGTATTTTAATATAGTGTCTTGAGTATCCATTGGCAATAACCACATGAAAAGGTAGAAAGCTCTAGTCTTTTGAATAAAGCTGTGATTTTCTTTACTACTGTTAATGGTCTGCAATGTAAAATAAGCTAACACCTTGTGAATCCAACATGATTTAATGACATCTGTTAAACTGTTTGATCACTGTATTCTACCCATATGTTTGCTACAAATCTTTATCATTCAAATGGAACCAAATATAGTTGCTCTTAAGTGCCACTGAAAATATAGTAGTCAAGGATAAAACAATAAGATTTAACCAACTGGAATAAAATATATAGAAAGGACTTGTCAGAATTTCCTCTTCTTAGCTAAGATTAGGAGTGTCAGACCCTTTCCTAGGTGCCTGAGGTTCTATTGATGATGGAACATCAAAATCCAAAGGTTTTTGATTTTGCTGAAAACTAGAAAACAGTAAATGGCTTATTTGCTGGTCTGTGTGTTGGTGAGTAGGGAATGATGGAGGGTGACCAGCCTTGGGCCAAGAGAGGAATTAGTAGGTAGCTCTCAGGTGTCTAGAGTTGAAAGACCACTCCCCTCCCCCCACCCCACCCAGGAAAATATCTTGTTCTCTTAGCTACTTCATAATTGGAGCAAATCTGTCTTAAGACGATTTGCAGTGCAGTGACAGGGGAACACACATTATTTATCCCATTATAGAATGATTTATTTAAAGTTCACACTTTTCTTGGGGACTATTCATACTCCAATTAAGAGAATAATTATGAAGTAAATTGAAGAAAGCACATGAAAATGGAACGCAAAATGTGAACGTTAAATAGAACAGGGACAGGTGTAGGTCTCTTCTTAACTGAGTCTTTAAATATTTTTCAAATTTTATAATATTTGCTACATAAAATCATATATACAAACTAGATATTAAAATTTTTATTATTATTATGATGAGTCATGATCAAATAGACATCTGAGAACACAACATCTAACTTGTGAACTAGACCATAACCAAAATCATTAAAGTGAATTGCACATTCCACCTGGTCATTTCTCTACTTCCCTCCACTACTTTGAATTTATTATTCTCTGTTTTTAAAAGTAAGTTTAGTGCCATAATTCAACACTTTGAGGGAATGCATCATTGTTCCTGGGAGTTCAGGACCATAGTTTCAGTTAGGTCACCTGGCATAACATAATTCACAAAGACAATGTTTTACAACCTACTTTGGTGACTAGGGACTAGAGTCTTAAAAATGAGTAGCCAGCTAAGGTGCAACTATTAGTCTCTTTCCATCCAGTGGAAAGAAAAGTAATAAAAACTGAAGATGCATGGAAATAATTAGTCCAATGGACTAATGAGCCACATGAACATCCTGAGACCACAAGAAATAGATGGTGCCTAGCTACTATATCAACGTCTCTGAAAGGGATCACAATAGAAAAGTCCTGGATCAAGTCGGAGAAAAGAGTGGGACAAAATTCAACATCATAAAAAAGGCTAGACTTACTAGTTAAATGGAAACTGGTGGAACTTCTGGGACTATGGCCCTTAGTCACCCACACTTCAGGTCTGGAAATGAACTCACCCCTCATTGTTCAATTTTTAGCCAAACAATAATATTAGTGAGATACACATTCCTTAGAATAATTAACCATTGGAGATCAAAATGGCAGCATTTACTCAAGGACAAAGTTCAGACGGGTTAGGAAAGAAGGAGGAATGGAAACAGGAACATAGGGAGGAAGAAGTAGGATAAGCAATGTTACACTGTAGGAATTGTAATCAACGATATCAAACAAAATGTGTAATAACTGTTGAACGGAAAACATGATCAGCTCTATAACCCTTCATTCAATTTACAATGAAAGTAAAACAAGAAACAAACAAACATGCTGTTTGTTGTTAAAACCTAGTGAGCTTGAAAACAACTCTTGGTGACTGTATGGTGGTGGTTGGTGGCTATGTACTGTGGAGTTGAATGTGACTCATAGTGACACTGTATATGGTTTCTGAAGCTGTAAATCTTTATGGGAGCAGAAAGCCTCACCTTTTTTCTGCAGGATGGCTGATAGTTTTGAACTGCTGACCCTGAGGTTAGTTAGCAGCTCAACTCGTAACTACTAAGCTACCAGAGCTCTTTTAGTGACTCTGTATAGGGAGAAAGATGAGGCTTTCTGATCCCATAAAGATTTATAGCCTCAGAAACCCTGTTCAGGGTCGCTGTGGGTCGGAGCTGACTCTATGGCACTTAACAACAACAACATAGGGTTTGTAAATCTTCCAGGGAACAGAAAGCCTTATCTTTCTCCTATGAAGCAACTAATGGGCTTGAACCGCTGACCTTGTGGTTCGTAACCCAGTGCATATTCTACAGAGCCACCGCTCTCCAAACAAATACATTGTTTTTGTTTATGTCACGGTAAGTCGGTTCCTGACCCCATGTAGGGTTTTCGAGGAGTGGCTGGTGGGTATGAATTATCAACCTTGCGGTTATCAGTCCAGTGCTTATCCTACATTGCCACACCAGGTTATAAAATTGCATTTCAGTATTGCTTTATTTATTTTTGATTAACAATAACTGATACACTTTTCCTAATTTATCAGCCACTAAATTTTCTCTTTTATAAAATAATCACAAGTCTTTTTTGCTAATTTTTCTATTGGGATTGATTTGAAGTTCTTTATTTATCTTCATGGAGTCCTGGTATGGTGCTATAGAATAAGAACTGGACCACATGGTTGGAGGGTCAAACTTACCAGCTGCTCCTATACAGGGTTGCTATGAGTAGGAACCAACTTGTGGCACTAACAACAACATATACCTTTATACTAATCCTTTGTTAGTGTTGTAAATTTCTACTAAGTGGTTTGTGGATTACCTTTTCACTTTATGAAGTCTTTTGACAAATACAAATTCTTAAGAGTGTATTTGTTTTTTATAAAGTTTAATTTTCCAATTAAATTTTATAAAAAAATTTCTTCATTATTTAAGTTTTTAAAACATATGGGATTGTTTTTTATGTAAGGAATGAGATAGGAATAAAATTACATCTGTTTGTCTTATCATATATTTAAAAGTCCTTTTCCTCAGAGATCACTGTCATATAATAGGTTTCCTGTTGCATGTGATGTGAGTCTATTCTGGGCAACTCTGTAGTGTACTAATGGTCAATAATTCTATCTCTGCTCCAATACCAGTGTTTTAATTACTATAACCTTAAAATAGATCTTGCTTTCTATAAGGAAAGTTTTGCCAATTTATTCTTCTTTAGTAGTGCCTTGATTATCCTGGGGCCTTTGGTTTTCCATATAAATTTTATAATCAGTATATCAGAGTCTTCAAAAACTTGGTATGGGGTATCGTAGAAGACGAGGAATGACAAGGGTCACACTCTGATGACCCATGATGTGACTAACACAGGTACTTGTGGCTACACTCAGGCATGTATCATTATGACAGCATGAAGCTGGCCTCTCTCCAGAGCCAGATAAGAGCAAAAGCAACTAGGGAACACATTCAACTTACTTGGCTTCCGCCTTCAAAGAGAACCACAAAGAGAGGAATAAAATGGAGATGTTGCCTGTGAATTGCCACGTGAGTAAATTCTTGAGATTCTACTAACAGTAAAGGTATTCATGAAAAAATAACAACAACTTTGATGGGACTTTGATTGAACTCATAAATTAATTTGGTCAGTATCTATGAGTCGTTCTGTTCATGTGCCTAGTCATTTCTCCATTTATGTTCTCTTCAGTTTCTTTAAAAGCATTTCTCCATAAAGACCTGGCAAACCTATTAATTTTATGTGTCTTATATTTTTTGTTGCTATTTTAAATGGTGTTTTTTAAACAACTATTTTCTTGTTGTTGGTCTATTGAAATGTAATTTTGTGTTTTGACCATATAGCCAATTATCTAACTAAACAATCCTATTAATTCTAATAACATATCTGTAGACCCTGACAATCATGTCAACTATTTTAAAATACAGTTTTCCCATTTCAACCCCTATATCTTTTATTCTTTTTCCATTGTTTTACGGTATTGGTTAAGACCTTTAATACAATGCTGAACAGAAGCACTACAGCAACCATTCTTACTTGTTCTAGAATTTAAAGGGAATTCTTCCACTGTCTTATCATTTATAATAATGATAGTTGTAGATTTTTAAAACAGATATCTTTATAAAATGAAGAAACTTCTCAATATGACTTATGACTTTTATGAATAAATTTTAAGTCTAAGAAAAAAAGAGAGAAAAGAAACTTAGCTTCTATGGTACTACTTTCCTGATTGGATTCAAACTTTCTGCATATTTACAATCCAATATGATGACTATTATTTCATAGTCTAACCTACATTATTTCTTGTTCCACAGTCTCTTCTGAATCCAGCTTGAACCTCTGGAAGTTCTCT